CCCAAGAGAAAGGCCTTGTCACGTGTATGCATGAACATGGACTCACACACACATTCACGCATTGTCTCTTGCAGGGTAAGGATGAAAGTTTCCACGATAGGCCATGTTGAAGTTGGAGAGCCAGAGATGCCAGTAAACAGATGACAGAAGTCTTACAATGACAGACAGCAATGTTGCTGACCAAATGAAAGAATAAAAACCAGACAGATTCCTAGAGAGGCAGTGGTACAGGTTCTGGGGTTCAAAATCTGGATGAATTCTGGATTCTGAAAAGTGATTTTAAAATGCAGCCTATTCAGATAGGAAAACTGAGAAAAGTCCTCCTTTCTTCCATTTTCACCCTCTGTTTGACGCTCAAGTAGACTGGGTGGTACCTATTCACATTGAGGCTCCCTCACTAAATTACTGGCTCATATGCCAATCTCTGGGGAAAAAACCCATGGATTTCCCCCTAGAGTTAATGCTTGACCAGTTGTATAATTGACACTCAACAAAGAAAAGCCTATACACATATTTAACCATCAAACATTCCAATTCTTTCTAGCAGCATCACCTGTCAACAAACCAGTTACTTATAAGAGCAGCAAAGTTAGTCCTATGTGCCTTTGCCAAAAAACAGCTGAACCACAAGTTAGACAGCTCCACACTGAGAAGGATTACACCAAACCTGTCCTTGTCAAAAAGACAAAAGAGAAATGCTGACATGCTGTTTTTAAGGGAATATAAATTAGTAAAACCATTATGGGCAAGAACGTGAAGATTCCTCAAGAAACTAAAAATAAATCCATCATATGATCTTGTTAGCTATCTGACTTCTGGAGATTTTATACACACACACACACACACACACTCATGCTTGTTGCTGCACTATTCATAAGACTTAACATAGGAATCAACCTAGATATCTACCAATTGGTGAGAAAAATCTGGCATATATGCACAATGGCATATCATTCAGACATGATAAATAATGATAGTCTCTTACTTCCAATAATCAGTGATAAGTTGGAAAAAGAAGGACAGTACTATATGTGAATAATTTTAAATCAATCTAAATTATAACAAATATTATTAGAAGGTGAAAAAGGTAGGAAGTTTGATGAAGAATTGGAAAGCTACAGGATAGTCTACTAAACATGGACAAAAGAAATGATTTCTTGTCATCTGCAGAAGAGTGAGTGTGATTTTAGTCCAAAATAATCTGGAAAATATTTAATTCATCACTAATAAAAAGGGACTGAAAGCTTCTAAACACAAAGCAATAATAATAAAATAAGTATATTGATTACTCAGATTTAGTAAATATACATTGTATATATGCACAGCCAGTGCACACTGTATACCATAAATACACACACAGCTAGTATTAATCCAAAACTAATATATAAAAGTTACAAATGTCCACTACTTTTATTTGATTAGGACATAACTTAATTGTCCACTCATAACCTATGAAATGAGTTACAGGAGAGGTTAAAAAAAACTACACACTGCCCAGGGCATGTGTTCATCAGGGATATAGCGGGAACCCCGCCCTAAAAAAAAGATACCAAATGACATACCTATTTAAATATATTTCTTTTTACATTATAAGAAAAATGCAGGTATGCATGTAAAATGTTGAATTGTGGAAGGGAGAGCACAATTTGTGGAAATCAGTTCTCTCTTTTCACTATGTAGCTTCCAGGACTAGCTAGTGTCCTGAGGCTTGGGGTTAAGTGCCTTTCTTCACTGAGCTATACTGATAGATCATTAAATACTGATAATCATAAGCTTATTTCACATAGTTTTCCCTGAGCCACTTTTCTCTCTCTAATTTCGAGAACAACGCCTTGTTGAAGGCCAACAAGTATTGTTCTTTTATTAAATAATGAGATCTTTCATATGACTAATACATTAAGAAAGGGAAAACATAATTGGAAAAAAACTATAGAAATAAAAGTGTCTAATTATTCAAATGACAAAATTTTTTTTTAAATTTTAAGACACAGTCCAAGAATTTATTTTTGAGTAACCTACCCTAGTACATTGTGATTATTTAGGTACAAGCATGAAAACATAAGATTAAGTTTCCATAGATAGAGTTCAACTAACCATGACCCTTGAACCAACCCAACCGATGTTTAGCTGGTACCTGTTTTAAACATTAAGTTTTAGCTGGGCATTGGTGGTGCACACCTTTAATCCCAGCACTCGGGAGCCAGAGGCAGACAGATCTCTGTGAGTTTGAGACGAGTCTGATCTACAGATTGAGTTCCAGGACAGCCTCCAAAACAATACAGAGAAACCATGTCTCGAAAAAAAATTTAGTTTTATTAAAAGGGCTGGCAAAATGGCTCAGTGGATAAAGGTACTTGCTGCCAAACCTGGCAATCTGAGTTCAATCTCTGGGATTCACATAGTGGAAAGATAGAAGTTGCTCCTTCAAATTGTCCTCTGGCTTTCACATGTATAACATCCCACCACACAAAATACATTCAGAAAATGTAATAAACCTAATTTCTAAACATTGTTTTATTGGAGCACAGTCTAGACTATACATCATGCATTATTTATAATGACATACGTAGTGCCATGGCAGCCTTGAATAGCTGTGATAGACTCCTATGACCAAGATCACAAAGCTAAATTGATACTCTGACCCTGTTGTAACAAAATTTTACTGATCAAAACTTGTCAAAAATCATGACTTTTCTATAGCCACTATAGTAAAATGGCAAGTTTGACCATAAGGCTCATAGTTAAAACAAAACAAATCATTAGTCTATTAACTGTTCTCTTAACATATGTTTAAAATATTGTTCATTCAATTAGTCAACAAATGCCCATGTTAAGCCCAGTACTAACAGGGTTATAACTGTGCATCCTTGTGACCAGTTTGTCACACTTTTTCTGGGAGCTGACTACTAAGCATATTCAAAGGTCGGGGGATGTTATGGTTCATTTGCGTATTTCAATCACATTTACAAGTAATCTGTTCATTGCATGTAAGGCTTAGCTAATCCTTCAGGCAAGTTTTTTCATGGTCAGTGAGGTCAGAGATGTTATATAATCCAAAATGCAGAAATTTTAAAAATAAATAAATTTAATGTGTGCAAAAACAAAAGCTGCCTAGGTACAGATGTAGACATTCCTTACAATCTGAATGGTAGTGTGAGACGTTAAATCTTCTCCTTGGTTTGAGCATGAGATTTTTGTTCTTCTGTGAGGGGTTCCAGTCTGACATCAGTGACCCCACTACTTCCTAGGAGCAGCTTAAGCCTGACAGGACACAGCATTGAAGGATCATAGACAACCTGAGTTTGAGGAAGATTTAGTAGGATTTAAAAAAAAAGCCATAGGCCAAACAAGAGTCAAGGGTTATCAATCAAGAGTAAATTGATTGACAGATACTGTGGCAGTTCCATTGCAGTTCCAAGAAGGTGTTCATATCCAGGAAAGTATCCCACTTGTAAAAAGAGGATAGTGCCTATGCACCTCTGCCCCTTTAGGTTTACAGAGCTCCCATATACTTAGACCACACAGTTATAAAATGCGGGGCATCTCGGAGCTGTTTGCAGCAGTCACCCACCTATCTCTTCTCCCTCTGAGCAAGCATCCATCAAATTGCATGTTTCTCATTATATGTCAACCTGGATCTTGCCTTTGCCCTCTGTACCTAGCCTTCGTTTTCCATCTCTTTACACACCCTCCTATTGGCTGGCTCCAAGATTGGTACCTTTTCCCTACAGTTTCCTCCTGTCTTCACAGTGTGCAATTGTACTATGCAAACTACTTCCACTCACTTTACACCATTCAAGCACTGAGAAGAGAAGCAGGTAAACCAAGGTGAGAGCTCAAATCCTTAGAGGCAAAACATGGATATTTGGAAATCTATCTAATATGCATTGGAGACAATGCTGGCAGCTCCCCAATGTCCATGTAAGTTTGAGGAAGAGCTTGTCTGCCAGGAATGGGAATTGTAACGTGGGAAATCTCCAGGTTTCCTGTCAACCTACACCAGAGATGGACAGTCATACAAGTATTCCATAAGGAGGAAACCAGGCAGTTCTTTATCAGCCCTCATGCTATAATAGAAAGGAGCAAGGCCATCATCTCAAAGGCATAGGATATGCATTAACATTTCAGAAGATGACATATTCATATTTTTCAATCAGGGAGGTAACTCAGCAAGTGAGAATGTTTACCTCAGGCCTGATGACTCAGGTCCAATCCTTGGGACCCGTGTGGTGGCAAGAGAGAATCATCTCACAAGTTGTCTTTGAACTCCATATGCACAACATGGATGTAGCCCCACCCCCACCCCCCACACATACATAAACATATACAAAATAAATAAGTGCAATATTTTGAAGTGCTTATGTTTCTTGAACACTTACTAGAAGCTGATGGTTTACATTACTTTTTTCAGATGAAAAAACAGAGACTAAAGCGGTAATGTTGTGTCTGAATTGCTTCATGCAGAAGAATGGACTTCTCTATTAATAATGATGAAGGCATGATAGGCAGAAACAGGGATAATACAAAGTGAGCCACGGATGTTGTCGCCTCATTTACAAAATCAGTACTGAAGGATTCAGACCAGGGCAAACTTCCTATGCTTCTCTGCTACAGCCCTAGAAGTGACATTAGCATTATGTCATGCTAGAGCCATGAACACTGGGAGAAAGCACCTAGCTCTGCTTAAGAAGTGGAGTAGTCTCTCTAATGTGACATGAAATGGAAAGAGATTGACTGTATGATGACAGTGATTTACAACAGATTTTTTTAAGTTGTAGATACCCAATAACTATGCTGAGGGGTTTAAGAAGAATATATTATTTATGATTACAGGAACTGAAACAAAAAAACCATCTAGCAAAGTATTAGACAACTGTCGAACAGTTCCATGATTAGAATAGTTCCACATACATGAAGAAGTCACAAAATTGTCACACTCTGGCATCAAATCAGATATCTGCACACCTGACATATTTTTAACTCAAAACAGATAATTAAAATACATCTAGGTAATGTCTTTATTGTTAGATTGTGTTACGACCAAATTAATCCAGCAATAAAAATAATGATAACGCCTTTAATTTATATGACATCTCTTTTTCAAAGCTCATGCCGACCACCTGGTAATTATCTTCTGTGTGTATATTGTCATAAGATAATCTGTGGAAGGCAAGTAACTTTCCGCAGTTCTTGGCTTGTTCCATCTTGCTGACAATGGTTTTGCTGTTATTCTGGGGGTAAAAGAATTAAATCTCCTTAAGTACAGTTGTTGTTGGTACAGCCTCATGTCATTAGTCAATAAAAAAAGCAATCAGCTTCAAAGTACAACCCAGTAACAGACAGGGTAGGGGTAGCAGCAGTTTAATACAAGGAGTTAAAGCTGAGAGAAGGGAATCTTTCACTCCTAGCCTAGGTCCACTCTACTTATACATGTATACCACAAACACATGCGTGCGTACACACACACACACACACACATACACACACACACACAATCTTAAGCCATGTGTCTTCAGATGGCCCTAGGAATTTTTCCTTTTCTTTAGGAAATCACAGGAGTTGTGAAGTGCTTTTAGGATGTTGGTTAATAACTATCTGTGCCTCAGTTCTGCACAATGCCTGAGGTTTCTTCCAGGAAGCAGTGAGCAGAACAGTTACTGTTGCTCCTGATATCAGAATTTCTGTTTGCACAAGTGCTGCTCCTGTGTTTGTCATTGCTGTCCACACAAAGTCAACAGGAGCAGCATTGTGAGGGTCCATGAGGACAAGACTGGAACTCTTGAGACAACTTTTCACAAGAAGGAATGGCTGGAAGCCATGCTTAGGTTGCCTCATATTACTGTCCATATCTCAAATCGGTGCACATTTCTAGAGTAAGAAACTTCTAGAAAATTCCTCTGAGCATCTCTTTTTGGATGTTTATACACTGTGTGAAGGTGTATTGCTGTGTTTGGCTAGTAAAAAGCAGAACTTCTGGGCAAGGAGAGGGAGGAGGAGGAATCGAGGCGTGCAAGAGAAACTTGAGGAGACACACAGAGGAAACAGGATGGGTGATCCATGACAGAATGTAGATTAATAGAAATGGGACAATTTAAGTGATAATATCTAGTTAAAAATAAACCTAAGCTAAGGCCAAGTTTTCATCATTAATAAGTCCCCATGTTGTTATTTATGAACTGATAAACAACACAAAGAAAAAGCCAACCAACTACAAGAATCTCTTGTGATATTTTTACTCTCATCTCACGTCTCAGACAGGTACCATGAAACCATAATGACAATTTGTCTTTGATCCTTCCCAATATCCTCATAGTCTGAAAATAAGACAAAAGTAAAGTTTGTCAACAGTTCAGGGACCATCCTGAAAAGCCAAAGGCATGCAAGTTATCTGCATGTGCGAACTGTACCTATATGTGACTACTCTATACAGAAGAGTGGAATATTCTGATGCAAAGTGAGAAGCGCTATTTGGATACTGACACTGCAAATGGGCCTCTTGGGCACAATGACCATGTGACAGCAAAAATGCAAGTGTTCCAGCAAAGATGGAAATGTTGACTGAAACTATTTTTATTTTTTTATAAATTTATTGACAGTAAAGTCATTAAAAGGAATGTTAGCTGAACATGCATTGTGTACTAGCATGGTCACTAATGCATATTAGCATCATATCAGAATAGAGCAGTGGGAAGAAACCTGGAAATGTTGTTCAGCATGTATTTTGTGCCCCACCCACCCTTCTTTAGATGCCTTAACTCACCAAATGGTGGAAGTTTGTATTTAAACCCATGTGCTATCTATATGGTCCAACTGAAGCTCTGAGTGATTTTGCAATTTCCTGATGTTCTCACTACTTAAAACAAAATGATAGTGTGACACTACAGATAAAGTTCTAATCCATTTTTGGTGTCTTCAACTGTTCTGAGCAGCTGTCTGCAAGCCTACATCTTCTAGGGTAAGTTTCCTGCTACTTATTTCTGCTGCACCTTGTTCTCCTGTCTACCTACATATCACATTTTACTAAAAATGCTTAATTATCCAGAAACACCTATTAACTTCCTTAATGGATGGATTTTTGTGGTATTGCTTGCTTTGGTATTTTAGCAGAGTGATAGCACACAATAAAGTATAACTTATTTCCTCAAACTCAAATTTACATGAGTCATAAAACTCCACCCTCAATTGTTCTTTAAAGGTGTTGCATGCTTTAGAACTGTCCTTTAACATGGTAATTGTCTATTCTCTGTCTACAATTTAGAAAATTAAGAGTCTTGCCACATCCTGAGTTCTCTAAGCCTTGTAAGTTTCAGGGGCTTCCTTTGTCAGATATTTGATCTATTTCCCTGACCTGTCTAAGTTATTTGATCCACCTAAAGCTGAGCCCCTTGCTCTCCCCAGGGAGAGAAAGCTTTCATATAGAGGAAGTAGTTCCCCAATGAGGGAGAAATCACTGTAGTCTTCTCTGATTCTTAATCCAAAAACCCTGCTGATATGAGGTAAGCCAGGTCCTCTTCAAACAACAGAATCAATCAAGCCTCACCTTGCTGACTCTGATCTTGTCCATGTAGACAGGCTACCACCCTTTTGCTACCTTGAATACTGGATAAGAAATTAATTCTTCGTCTTGAACATGGCAGACCCTATGTTGCAAGATTTTATAGGGTACCTTGCCCCTCATTAAAGAATCTGAGCCTTAGTTTGGAAGGCTATCCATAATCTTCCTTATAGTCAACACATGAGCTAGAAAGTCCTTTGCCAAAGAGCTTTTGGGGCATAGGATATCTCAGTTTAATATATGAGCATACAAATTAGAAGCCTGGTTTTAACTAGACCACACTCAACAGTTAGAAAAATTAAATATGCAGATAAATGTAGAAGGGACATGAGACAAGTGAAACTTTCATAAATGTAGTTTCTAGGATTCATCTGTGGAGGTGGATCAGACAATGGCTTAATTCCATTAGATTAATATTCTGAACTTTGTGTTGCCACATATAAATAATTCCAGAATTATCAAGCAAATCAAAACAGTTATTCATTTGTAGAAATAAAGCAAAACCTACATAAATGCTTCAATACAAATCAAAGCCCTAATTCCTTAATTCTGAAGGTCACAGTATTTTGGTCCCAACCTATGAAGTGTTTATGACTTAAAAGTTGCTATTACAGTCTCTAAATGGCTAATAGTTATCCCTAAACAAATCTGAATAATATGGAAAGGCAAATTGGAACTTCTGGTTCTAACCTTGTGTGATGTGTCTTTACAGACAGCATGAAAGAAGCTCGTAAGAGAATACATTTATACTAAAATGGCATCAACCATCTGTAAGATATGACCTCAGTTACAAGTTTCAGAGTTTATCTAGAGTTCTCCTCAGGAACCAGGGCTGCTGCTTAAATGAATGGGAAGAGAGAAAGTGCCGAAAACTTAGTGGACTTTTATGATAATACCACTAAACAGCTTTTAAGTTACAGAAAAATGGTTTCAGCTATTTCTTGTAAAGAAAAAAAAGACCTAACATATTTACCTAAGAAGAATTAGTAAGAATCATGAATTGTTACCCTTCTAGACAGGGAGCAGTCAGCAGTGGGTGATTTGAGAGCCCACTTTTTGTGACTTCAAATATTTGGGCTCTTATTACTACATTAGCAGCATTGCATGAGTGGTGAGTTCTTAAATAACATTAAGTCAGGGAATCAGCTTTTACCTAGACAAAGTCAGATCACTTTTATTACTTATTAGAAGATTTGTGGCTATTTAAGACAAATAATCTAGATCAACAAAATTTCTAGGAATCCAGGTTTGCTGGGGTCTTGAGTGATTACCTTGGAACATCATTGTCTTGATAAGCAGTCTTATATCTTCTCCCTGGATTTCTTGTTTTCTCAGAGCTTGTGTGTTGCTGAGCTCATTATGTAAATGAATTAACAAAGCAGGTAGAGGAAGCTGTGAAGACTCTGAGGCTGATAGAGACAGAACCCAGGCCCAGATACACAATCAACTCTCCTAATTCCTGTGGTTCACACAATGAGAGACACTGGGAATCTCAAAACCAGGTGAGTCCTCTAGTCTTCTTCATGGGGAATTGAGACTTGGGGGAAAGAAGTTTACAAAAAGGATGGACAGAGGGAAGGGGAGGGTGTAAGGGAAAGAGAAGGAGGGAGGACAGGGGGAGAGAGGTGAAGGGAAGAAAGACCTGATTTTGAGATCTTGGCTTTGAGAAAAGAGGCCTGGATGTGCATTTGAAACGGAAGTGAATGAACATGAAGACAGCATGTTCACAATATGAAGGACACAGACAGAAAAATATTCATCCTATTCATTTGTAGTCAGCAATATTTCCTAGCTTTAAATATAATACTTTGAAATACAAAGAAAATTGCATAACTAATGTGTCCCAATGAAGCATTTTCTTTCATGTCTTTGTTTAAATCTTTATTATTAAAATACTAAAGAAACGTAAAAAAAACAGGAGTATCCAAAGCTCATTTGAAAAATGAGAAAAATCAAAAAATGAGAAAAATCAAAAGTGTCAAAAGGACTGATTTACCATTGTTTAAAATCCATGTTAGTGAAGTATATTTCCAGTTTTCTTTCTCCCTGTAGCAATTAAACGTTTTAAATGGGATTATAAAATCAAATGGAAAAAAGGAGTTGCTGGAACCATGTGGCTCTACCAAGCTTGGAGCTTCCCCTGTGGTGACATTTCCGAGTGGGAATTCTTCCTGCCTGGAAGGTGCAGAGTAAGGAGGATTCAGCTGATGAAGTCTGTGATTCTATAGTGTATTTTAGGGAACAAACCAAGCTCAAGGGTATCTGAAAAATCTAATGTATCTTCCCAATTGAAACATGAAGGCCAAGGCTGATTAAAAGACTGATTTACGGTCTTCTAATTTCCTAATATGCACTCTTTCATATCCTCATTTCTGGTTTTGATCCTTGGCCAGACCTCACCTCAACTCATGCTTTTTATAATAGTACAGATATCCTACCCACCTCTCATTTGAAAAGAAACATTTTTACTGACTTGTCAGCACTTGCCTTCTCTTTCTCTCACCTGCAAGCTATTTATGTAGTTTAAAAAGAAAATGTGGAAGGGCCTTAAAGAAACCAGTGGCATTCAAACTCTCTCCTGTTCTGATGGCGAGGAACTGGCAATCAGCATCCATGTGCATTTCTACTGAAACAGAAAGTACATGTGGGGGGGAAGAGATCTGTGAACTGCAGGAGAGAGAGTGGGGGAGGGAGAGGGAGGGGAGGGAGAGGGAGGGGGAGGGAGGGAGAGAGAGAGAGAGAGAGAGAGAGAGAGAGAGAGAGAGAGAGAGAGAGAGAGAGAGATGAAATGATCAATTTAAATTCCACTCTGGAAATAGTACACTTTTAGAGAACAAGAAGAGGGCCTTCTTCACCACACTGGTAGCCCCAGTGAACCGGATTTGCTGAGTTAATTATCCAGCAAATAAACATCAGTCAACATCAACTGGCTGCACACGATAGTCAGCCACTTACCTACCTACCATGTTGCTCACTTCTCTTTGGAAGCCTTCTCCTTCTCCTAAGGCTTTGTGAAGCAATGAAAGCCTGCCTGGCCCCAGAGAGAATGCTGCATACTCCAGGTATCTTACTGATAGTACTCTGGATATATATAGCTTCATTATGCCAAGAAGCACTGTGTGCATTCTGCACTTCTCTTCACAGATCCTAGAGTTAAGGGCCAGTACCTTGAATGCCATTGCAAAAGTGTGACAGATCAGAAATTACCTCAGTCTTGTCCTTGGCTGCTTAGACAACATATAGTCTATAAAAAATGGTGGTCTGAGAAAGCATTCTAAGTATTGTAAACTATAAACAATGACTTTCACTAGCTATGGATTTATCCATAGGGATCATTGATGTTAATTTGTCACCACTGACCCCTTGAGGACCTTTATATGTTATTTTACAGGTATACCCTGACACTAACCTCAGGTATGAAAACTGTGAACTCTGCTTGAGTGTTGATGACTCTTCTCGGTTCACCCTCAGGCTGTGTAACAAGCTAAGAATCTGAACTAAAAATTACCATTTTTTATCAGCTATGAATTATGCATGATATACATAATAATTAGATCTGGACATAGCATCTATGGACTACTGACTGGTCTAGCAATCTAATTTTTTGTCTCTTTAAGATGCAAAATTGGGCACAACTAGTCGAGGCCAGGGTACTGTGCACTGTAGCTCCCACGCCTGCAGGAGCCAGCCTGCCCAGAGACAGCCAGCTTTCAAGTCCCATTCTCCACCCACTGGACAAGAGAGGTAAGCATGGAACTGTCTCCAGCCTGCATTTCAGTGCCCAGAGTAGAACCACCGGAGACCTGGGGACTGTGTAAGGCAAATACAATTCTGACAGGATTCAGCCTGCCCAGAGACTGCCAGGACCATAGTCCCTTTCTCCACCCGCAGGGCTAGATAGGCCTGGGCATGTTTACAGCCAGTCTTCCAGTAACCTGCACACAACTAGCCAAGGCCAGGGTACTGTGCATTGCAGCTCCCATCCTGGAACAAGTCACCCCACCCAGAGACTGCCAGCATCCAAGTCCCATTCTCCTCCCACAGGAAAAGTGAACCTAACTTCCAGTGCCCTGAGCAGAACTGTAGGAGACCTGGGGACTACACACTGCAGATCCCATCCCCACAGGGTCCAACCTACCCAAAGATTGCCAAGGCCCTGGTACTAGGATGGCCTCCATCCACGCAAGAGGAAAGCCATCAAATACTGGACCTGCTCAAACCCACTGGAAAGGAACCGTGGTCACATACCCACCAGTAGAAGAAGACACTCCTTCTGCATCCACTGGAAGAAATGATGATAAGGAGACAATATAAAAACACACCCAGCAACAAAAAAAACAATATGATACCCCCAGAGTCTAGAGACTCTACACCCGCAAGACCTGAACAGCCCAATGCAGATGAAGCAGATGAGAAAGACCATAAAAACAACTTCATGAAAATGGCAGAGGCCCTCAAAGGGGCTATGAGAAAATCCCTTAAAGAAATGGAAGAAAAAACAAACCAAAAATATTTTTTAAAATGCAAGAAATGGAAGAAAAAAACAAACCAAAAAATTCAAGAAAGGTAGGAAAAGCAAAGCAAAAATTGCAATAAAAAATTCAAACAGTGCAAGGGTTGAAAGCTGAAATAGAGACAATAAAAAAACACAGTCTGAAGGAATGCTGAAAATAGAAAAGCTGGGCAAACAGTCAGGTATTACAGATGCAAGCATAACCAACAGAATACAAGAGATGGAAAAGAGAATCTCAGGTGTTGAAGATACACTACGGAAAATAGATTCATCGACCAAAGAAAATCTTAGGTCCAACAAATCCCTAACACAAAATATCCAGGAAATATGAGACACCATAAAAAGGCCAAACCTAAGAATAATAGGGATAGAAGAAGGTAAGGAAACCTATCTCAAAGAGGCAAAAAACATATTCAGCAAAATCACAGAACAAAACTTTCCCAACCTAAAGAAAGGCATGCTAACGAAGGTGCAAGAACCTTACAGAACACCAAATGGAGTGGACGACAAAAAAAATCCCCTCACCACATAATAATCAAGACCCCAAATATACAGGATAAAGAAAGAATACTAAGAGCAGCTGAGAAAAAAGTCAAATAACATACAAAGGCAAACCTATCATAATTACACCTGACTTCTCCATGTAAACTGTGAAAGCCAGAAGGTCCTAGATAGATATTCTGCCAACACTAAGAGACCACAGATACCAGCCTAGACTGCTTTCAGTCACTATACATGGAGAAAACAAGATATTCCATGACAAAACCAGATTTAAACAATGTGTATCCACTAATCCAGCCCTATACAAAAAGTTCTGGAAGGAAAACTCCAACCCAAGGAAGTTAACTACAACCAGGAAAACATAGGCAATCAATAATCCTACTTTACCAATAACCAAAAGAAAAAGGGGTGAAAATCCACACACAATTACACCAACAAAAACAACTCCAAAACAACAAAAAAGCAATCAATGGTCATTAATATCCCTCAATATTAATGGTCTTAATTTGCCCATAAAAAGACACAGGCTAACAAAATGGATTCAAAGACAGAATCCATCCTTTTACTGCATACAAGAAACACATGTCAGCTTCAGAGACAGACATTACCTCAGAGTTAAGGTAGGAAAAGATTTTCCAGTCAAATGGACCCAACAAACAAGAGGGGTAGCAATTCTAATTTCTAACAAATTAAATTTTAAAAATAAAATAAATCAAAAGAGATGAAGGAGGTCATTTCATAATAATCACAGGAGAAATCCACCAAGATGAAGTATCAATTCTGAACGTCTATGACCCAAATACAAAAGCATCCACGTTTGTAAAAGAAACACTACTAAAACTCAAATCATACATAAAACCTCACACACTTATAATGGGAGACTTCACCACTCCACTATCACCTCTAGACAGGACCAACAGACAGAAACTTAGCAAAGAAACAAAGGAACTAATAGAAGTTATGACCCATTGGGTTAAGCACACATCTATAGAACATTCCATCCGAACAAAAAAGAAAATACTTTCTTCTCAGTGCCACATGGAAACCTCTCAAAAATCGACCACATACTCAGCAGCATATCAAACCTCAACAGGTAAAAACAAAAATGGAATACCTCCATGTACCTTATCAGACCACCATGGGTTAAAGTTAGAATTCAACAACAACACAAATCACAGAAACCCTACAAACTCATGGAAATTGAATAATATGCAATTGCACCATTCCTGGGTCAAAGAAGAAATAAAAAAAAGAAATTAAAGACTTCCTAGAATTCAATGAGAATGAAGACACCACATACCCAAACTTATGGGACACTTTGAAAGCAGTGCTAATAGGGAAGTTCATAGCACTCAGTGCCCACATGAAGAAACTGGAGAATGGTTACAATAGATGATTAACAGCACAACTGAAAGCCCTAGAACACAAAGAAGCAAACTCACCCAGGAGGAGTAGATGCCAGGAAATAATCAAATTGAGGACTGAGATCAATAAAGTAGAAACTAGAAAAACAATACAAAGAATCAATGTAACGAAGAGTTGGTTCTTTGAGAAAATCAACAAGATAGACAAACCTTTACCCAAACTTTCCAAACCTCAGAGTGTGAACATGCAAACTAACAAAATCAGAGGGGTTATAACAATGGAGACTGAGGAAATCCAAAGAATCATCATGTCATACTTTGAAAACCTGTACTCCACAAAATTTGAATTTAAAGGAAATGGATGATTTTCTGGATAGATATCACTTGCCAAAATTAAATCAAGAACATATAAGCAATTTAAACAATTTAAATTGACCTATAACCCCTAAGGAAATAGAAACAGTCATCAGAACTCTCCCAACCAAAAAAAAAAAAAAAAAAGGCTAGGTCCAGCTGGCTTCAATGCAGACTTCTACCAGAAATTCAAAGAAAAGCTTATTCCAATTCAACTCAAAGGTCTCAACACAATAGAAACATAAGAATCTTTGCCAAAGTCTTTTTACGAGGCTCCAGTAACCTTCATACCCAAGCCACACAAAGACACAACTAAGAAAGAGAACTATAGACCAATTTCCCTTATTAACATTGATGCAAAAATACTCAATAAAATACTGGCAAATTGGATCCAAAAACACACCAGAAAACTCATTCACCATGATCAAGTAGGCTTCACCCAGGGATGCAGGGATGGTTCAACATATGAAAATCCATTAATGTAATTCATCATATAAACAAGCTGAGAAACAAAAATCACAAGATCATCTCACTAGATGCTGAAAAAGCCTTTGACAAAATCCAACACCCTTTAATGATAAAGGTCTTGGAGAGATCCGGAATAACAGGAACTTACTTAAACATAATAAAAGCTATATACAGCAAACCAACAGCCAACATCAAACTAAATAGACAGAAATTCAACGCGATTCCTCTAAAATCAGGAACAAGACAGGGCTACCCTCTCTCTCCATACCTTTTCAATATTGTGCTTGAAGTTCT